TGTGTGTGTGTGTGTGTGTGTGAGTGTGTGTGTGTGTGAGTGTGTGTGTGTCTGTGAGTGAGTGAGTGAGTGAGTGAGTGAGTGTATGTCTCACCGTCGGCTCCTCAATGATGCTGTCGATGCCACCCAGCAGGTCCGCTCCTCTCTGCAGCCTGACAGGAAGAAGAAGAAACAGAAGAAGAAGAGTAAAACATAAAGCACTTCATGCGTGAATGTGTCGGGTTCTGGATGGATGCACTTACGACTGCTTCCTCTTGCGCCCCCTTCTGGCTCCTGTGTGCACGTCTTCAGCCTGAGTGCAGACGGAAGAGAAAGAAGCCAGGGTCATGCTGAGAAATAAAGTCTAGTACACTACTCAGTATACAAAGCTATTAATGAAAGAGCTATGTGAAGCAGTGTGCCAAAATAAACATTTCTGACATTAGTATGCTATTCAGTGTTTCCCCTGCCATTATATTAGAGGGGAGTTTTGGTCATATGACCCACACATAATAGTGTTAAATAATCGTGATTACAATATTGATAAAACTTGTATTGATAAAACAATATTACCAAAACTTCAAGTGAAATTAAAATAACTGAAAGCTAAATAAAATTGTTAAAAAAATAAAGCACGACAAAATTGCTAAACCTTAAATTGAAATAAAAATAATTAAAAGGCAAATATAAATGTTAAAATAAAAATGACAAAAGAACATAACAAAATTGCTAAAACTGAACTAACTTCAAGTCAAATAGATAAAATAGAAATAAAAACTAATAGAAATGACAAAAGCACATAACAAATAAAAAAAATAAAGCAAAACAGAAATTTTTTTCTTTAATTATAAAAATGGCAGAAGCACACAACGAAATTACACAAAATTAAACTAAAACCAATAACAAAGCTAAATAGAAATAATAAAAAAGACTAATAAAAATTATATAAACTCGTAACAAAATTGCTAAAAATGAAAAAAGTAACTTCCAGCTAAATAGAAAAGTCAAAAAAATAAAAATGTAAGAAGTTGAATTGAAAACTTGAAAAAAATATGAATAAATACTCTAAAGCCCCGTTCACACCAAGAACGGTAAATATAAAGATAACGATATTAGCGAAAGTCCACACCAGCGAACTATATCGTCTGTTTATTCTAAGCACACGCACGTCTGCCGCTTTAAATTCTCGAGCTCGTTACAGCAGGATGGATTCTGATTGGCTGTCAATTTTTTATCGTTCATCAGCTGGACAAAAATAGTTTTGAAAGTGATTCCAACGTTATCGTTTCTCTTTGTCTTTATCGTTATAGTTGTGGTGTGGACTCTGCTATTCTTTAATATTGAGAACGATTTTTAGAACTATATCTTTATCGTTATCTTTATAGTTATCGTCCTTGGTGTGAACGGGGCTTAACAGCATATGAATAACACGTGATAAGTGCACTCACCCGGACTTGCTCTGCGTCTCTGATATCCTCGGCTGCCTCGCGGAGCCGCTCACCCGGACTCAAATATCCCTGCGGCCTTCGTCCATCCTCCTCCTCCTCGCCTCCTCGCCCCTCCGCTCCGGAGCCGATCCCGTTGCTGTAGACGCACACTGTGGCCGAGCCGTCGGTCTTGGCCTCCTCCAGCGGGGCGTCGCAGGGCGGCGGAGTCGACGGGTCCTCACTGGGTTTGGGCGTCCCTCGGGCTGGAGACTGGGACTGGGCCGTGTCCAAGCCGAGGCGGGTCAGGTCCGGATTGTGGACGGAGCAGGCGCGGCGTGGGCTGAGGGGCGAAGGCAGCTCCGGGTACGAATCGCGCTCATTCACCTGCGAGAAGGTGGTGTAGATTAGTGCAGTCGAAAAAAAAATTAGAATTTCGAATATATCCACATTCGAATGCAAAAACTTTGGTATTAGGTGTGCGTCAGGCAGCCTTATCAGTAGACACAAGATGCGATGACGATGTAGGTGTCGTTGCATTTTAATGCTTTATTAGCCTATCTGGTTGAAGCCACTAGATGGCGCTGCTCCGTTGTTCATTC